TGACAATTTATCCTGCTGTTATTCGGTTTCATTAAAAATATACTTTGACACTAGCTTCTACATTGTTGCTAGTTTTTTGAAAACGAGCTAAATCTTGTCCACTTCACACACCTCCTGCAATGCGAACCTATAGACTGAGGACAATGCTAATGTCTTGACGTTTTTCTTAAGAATGACAAGATTTTCCTCCATATCTTGACCTTGAGATATCACATGGAATACAGTGTTTTGCTAATGGTGGCCACAAGCTGGAGACAACTCTCTACCCAGTGCTAAATTTCACAATTCATGACTAGCTAGTAGGGCAGAGGGCTGAACAACCATTTCGAGGGATGGCTATTAACTACTTGCAAAGCAAACAATGCAAGACCTCTCAAATGCAATCAAGTGTGAATAACTAATTGAATTTGTTATGCAAATTTGAAAAAAAGTTTTATGCTAAACTAAGCACAACAGCAAAGTACAATTAACCTGAAGCCTATGTCTTCTCAAACACTGTTGAGCAACCGACCGTTGTGTGTAAGCAGGAAAAACCCAATAACATAGGAAAACAGAGCATGTGACTTTTTGGGGTATAATCTATTTTATGATGATATATTTAAAAAATAACAGCAATAAAATATTGAGATATAAAGAAAATGGTGAAGTATGTGCCCCCCAGTTTAAAAGGGCATGACGCGTGTGACAAATTCATTCACTGTACTTTTTGGGTTAACAAGATGGTTACAGTTACAGTTTACATCATGACAGTTTTGTATTTCCCATAATTATTATTGTGTCATTCTAACTCCTGTATTTCTACAAATTGCTGGGGAATATAATTTCAACAGAGTTTATCAGGTACTGCGACAAAGATATACGTTTGTTGGATCACAGAACAATCATCACTGTAAGAAAGAAATGAACCATATGTAGCACATAGCATTCACAATTGAAACACTAATGTATTGTAATGATGTAATGCATCCAAGTTGTATAAATGTGCTCTTCAACCCATACACATCTCTTTCATGACTTGACATCTAACCTTTGAAACAAAAAAACAAACTCTAAATTAAAAATACAGACAAAAACAGTGATGGCCAAAATATGATCTGCCCCTTGCATTCTGGCTGTTTAAAGTCTTTTTCTTTTCTGATATATTTTTTCCCAGTAAAAATCCACAGAAATATGAACCGCTTTTGACAAATCTTCCTTTCAACCAGTGCCCCCACAGGCCGTGTAGAATTCACCAATGCCCTGTAGCACTGGGTGAGCTTTTATTCCCTCTCACTTGTGAAAGTCAGGAACTGACCACCTCTGTAGTCCTTTAGTTAGGAAAAACATATTACTCTGTGTTGACAGACCAGGATCCACAGGTTTGCAAGAGAGGAAAGAAAATGTCTTCTGTTCCATTTGTCTTATCTTTAAGTTCAAATTAGTAAATTCCACACCTCCGTTAAATCATTTTCATGTTGAACTTGCGAGGAGCATCCACTGTGCTGCTGCTCATGCCAGCGTCTGATTTCCGTGGCACGTACTCGATCTCAATATTGTGTTTAGTGTTGCCTTTTCCTCTGCTCCAAAGAAAGAGCAGTACCAGGCAAAACAAGACAACACCAAGAAAAGAGATGAAGCCCATTGTGGTTGCAATGATCAACGTCTTTATATCAAATGGGAATGGGACATTGGCTCTTGTGCCATTAGCACCTGTTTCCGTGGGCTGGTTGGAGATGAAGGCAAACGTCTTATTGGGCTGGTGTGGCCAGTCAGGCGAGTAGCTATGAATATGCAGGTGAGAAAGGGAGGTGTCGTTTCCGCCTGCGTTGCTAGCTATACACACATATGTACCATTGTCTTGAATCTGGGCATAGCGCACCTCAAGGGTACCATCTGGCAGCACAGAGAGCCTTCCAATTGTCTTGGTGGTGATGAACTTTTTCTGCGGGGATAGCCACATTATCACTGGAGCAGGATCGCCATCTGCTTGACAAGCAAAATGAACAATGGCTCCCTCGTCAACAAATTTCTGCTGGGGCTTGCGATCTCTAATCCTTGATTTGCGACATGTGAAGTAGTTAGGCTGCAGAACATCTGGGAAGTCTTTGAATTCTTTGCCTTGGACAAACTCAGGAGAGGCACAGGTGGGCTGTTGCCTGTTGAAGTTCAGTCTCCAACGTCGTCTAAAAACCCATAACAGTCGGCAGTCACAGGCCAGGGGATTATCATACAAGGCAAGGGTTTCCAGGTTGCCAACTGAATGAAAAGCAGACTCCTCTAAGGTGCTAAGAGAGTTCCCAGACACGTTTAGAATCTTCAGGTAGTTTAGACCACGGAAAGAGTAGGGCTCAATCATTGCCAGTCTGCCTCCCACCAGGTGAAACTCCTGCAGACGCAGAAGATCATGGAGCTTATTCCCCTCAATGGTATGGATAGGGTTATATGAAAGATTCAGAAAGCGCAAATAAACCAGGTGACGCAGGGCCACATAAGGAATTGTGGTCAGGTTGGCATTTGCAATAGTCAGGGAAGTGAGATTTAATCCATACAAGCAGTTAGGGGTCATGGTATCCAAATATGGCCAGTTGGCGATTTCCAGCACTTTCAGCCGATAGAGCCTTTTAAAGGAGTAATCCCGTATCACATTGATATTGAGGTGACGCAGCCTGAGAGTGATCAAACTGTGGAGGTGAGTAAACGCCTCTGTGGGCACAGAGGACAAGTTGCACTTCTCAAGACTCAAGTGCTCAAGGCTACTTAGGCCATGAAAAGCCCGGTGGGAGATGAAAACCAGATCGTTATCACCTACCTCTAAAGATCGTAGGTTGTACAAATCCTGGAACATATAGTCCAACAGGATGACGATTTTGTTCTCACTTATGTCCAGCTGTGTGAGATTGCTTAGGCCTGTGAAGACACCAAGCTGGATCAGCTTAAGCTTGTTGCTACGCAGCCCTAATGTCCGCAAGCCGTAAAGGTTGTTGAACGCTCCAGGTTCAATAGTGGAAATCGTGTTTTCACTGAGCTCCAGGTGTTCGAGGTTGGCAAAGTTGACAAACTCATCTGGGTTAATGGTTCTAATGCGGTTCTTGCTGAGATCCAGCAGTCTTGTTTCTGCAGGAATGCCCTCAGGAACTGTCATGAGCTTCTTGCGGTGGCACATCACAGACCGCTCTTGAACATTGCACTCACAGCGGGATGGACAGCCTGTGGTGGAGCCAGACAGCACTGTGCCCAGCATCAGGATCAGAATGGGCTGCCAGCAAGCCACCAGGTAGCTGTGCCCAGTTGCTTCCCTGGCCACCATCTTATCGGTTACCTGGTGAGACACAAACACAAAGCAAAACTTTGAGAAGATTAAATCACACTACACAACTGTGACACTGAACATTTTTACTACCCAGTCCAAAAGTCTGTTGTGATTTTCAGGCAAGGGGATAACTCACTGCAGATAGCAGAACATTCATATCCATCAGCTGAAACATGGAAAATAGAAGAATATTCAAGTGAGACATTATGGTCTTCAGATCACAGAGCTATGGGCTGATGTTCAAATCAGCAATTTTGTGCTTAATTCAGCAATTTCTCATGACATGTGGTGGGCCTGATGGACAGCAGTATGAAATGACAGCAATGTGAACTCACACTTTCCTTTGGCCATCGTGTCTATTTTCTGCAAGTTGCTTCAGCAATAATAAGTGCTAAAAGGATGGCATTCTCATGTGACACAGTTCCTAACAGAACAGAGAATAGGATTCCTGCTGCAAAATTTATGCCACAGACACAAGCTGAATGGAGATGGGTGGCTACAAGGAATAAGGTGTGTGTTTTGCATAATTGAGAGTGCTGACAGTTCTGAATTCTGCATTGTTCACTTTGTGCACAAAGCTTCAAAAGGGATTTCAAATACAAGTTGCTGCTGTGGATGTTCAGCATTCTATCAGACCTATTTATGATGTAGAAGAAGAGGTAATGAACCTAGCTAGAAAATCACAGGCCAAATGCTTCTAGTAAATTACATATATCTGGTACTGCACCCTCATTTTGTCTGCTGTGGAATGCTGAACACTATTTTCACTGCACACCTTGCAGACGATCAATCAGTCAATGCTATCACCCTGATATGAAGTGAAGGGGCACAGCTTCAAGAGGAATTAACAGCATTTTTCAGATAGTAATCCAATTCATGCTGTGTCACAGACACATCTGCTGAGAACATCTGTGGTTTGCTCTGTCTTTTTTCGCCCATGCTCTTTTCTTTGTGCTTCCAGTCTGAATTTTGTGTGCGGGCAAGAAAAACAGTGGGGGGTGGAGCAGCAGGAGCAGGAGGATGCAATCAAAGACGGATGATGGCAAGTGTGATGTATGTGCTCTGGCTGACGCTTGGCTCATGCAATCTTTTATGATAAAATATAGACCACACACCACCAGGGAATTGGATAGAGGGATAAATACAGGCGTTAAGAGCAAAAAAACAAACCCTATTTAATAGCAAATACCATCTGTTAGTGTGCCTCCTCCCTTAGAGCTGACAGTGCAATTAACAGCTGAGTTGATCAAAACAGAGGTTCCAGTTGTATGCAAAAATGGAACCAGTTAAATTATAGCATGAAAATTAACATGGGGAATTAACATTCTTAATGGTATGATTTCAAATAGTTGATTCTGAATATTATTAGTATAAGCTGTCCAATAGTTAAAGGCCAAACAGCCAACTATTCCAATGAGTCCAACCAGCTACTTTATTGCATTGGACCTATTAAATCTATTTAACTCTGATAAAATAGTTATAAATACTTATTAATGAGTAGCTAATTACTACAGTCTTATTCAAAACAATGTGTGCATGGTAATAGAGAAACGTGCCTGTTTGTATCAGTCAAGCCCGACAGGGTCTATAGCACATACTCCACCTTTTGAGAGCGGAGCCATCTAAAATAAATTGGACACACCCTAAAACACTAAGTGCTGTCAAGTACCATGTATAAGTGAAATGTAATATATATAGTTTAAAATGTTCTGGAAGACTTTAGTATGTTTTGCCATTGACTAATTGTGCAAACTTATAGTTTAAAATACATATGATGTAAGCAATTTGCAATACTACAGAGTTTATGATTAAGTATATACATTTCATACATAATGGACATTTTTGGTCATCCTGTCATTGAGTAATTTTCTCTGGCTTTGTGTGTAACAAAGAGAATTTTTCATTCTTGAATAATACCTAATTTATAGCAGTAGTATATCAATAGAGAAGAAAAGGGATGTTAAAAAATGCAACAATTGCCATTATTATGGCACACCCTGACACAGTGATGGTCTCATTAAATAAATAAAATAATCAATAAAAAAGTAAGGTTTTATAAACTATTTACAGATCATTTGAGCGAAAACATTTATCCTTTAAAACAAGGCACTTCATTTTAAATTTGGTAGGAAAAGTCATTAAAATATGCAATAATTAAGAATTTGCCTGAGGACATTGAATTTGGGCTTTTAAGGCCAAAATGTTTGTGTTGTGTGGGAGGATGTGTGAGTCTGCAGGAGGTTACTTTTCCTCACTGCCTGGTTCCTATGTATCGTCCTGGAAAGCCCTGAGGAAGTATTTAATTAGCACTAAAAGGACTTTATTTCCACTGAAGCAAATGGGGGTTGGATTTTTATTTACAGACATGATGGCTTGCGAGAAAGAAATCCCTCATATCTAATTCAGACTCTATTTAAGACATGTCTCTTGGGAAATTCTGTCTGTGTGATGGCTGTTGTCATACTACATAGCATTTTGCCAGTGATATGGAGTTTCATCTCTTGCTTTAAATTTTTCTTTGAGGTTGAATGTCAAATACATGGCATTTCTTCCTGATTCACATAAGGTTTTTGAAGGATATTGCACGTCTTTGTGCTTCAGCTCATTTCAAACACCTTATTACATGCAGCAGATTGAGACTGTAGGGAAGGAGGAGGAATCTGATTATAGATTGATTATAGGGTGACATGTCACTGCCATTGTGGTCCCCACTCATACATCTCCCTCCCTGGACCACTAGTCAGCTGGACATCATCATAGATGGACTCATCTAAAAAGGAGGCTTTATGAGTGAGATTAACTTCACTCAATTTCATTTTATTCCCTTTAAGGTCAGAGTTCAGATTGGGGAATTGATGATACCATCTGTAATCAAGGGAAACGTAGTGATTTCAAAACAGGCAGAGATGATGGTGTGTCGGAGATCAGAGACCTGCACTGCAGCCTGCTGTGCTCCTTGTTGCCTCCAGCTATACTTTATCATTCTTATTCCGTAACCCACATTGATCAAGTCGGTGCTGAGCGCTGTGAGATGGAGTAGTGTGGGGCTTTGTGTGGCATACTAAGACACCTGAGAAGGAGTGGCCTTATCACAAGCTCCATCACATCTGTCACCGTCTATCATGTGGCTATCACATATTGGATATCAGTCTATGAGATGTTATTGTCCAGCTTTATTACCAGTGACACTGAAACCCAATCAGGAAAACAATCAAATCACAATCCCTCGTTGGTAAAGCTCCATAACTGCAGCAGGTCACAGACACCAGTCAAGACATCTCAATGAGTCCACACAGGGTGAAAATGTCCACAAGAACACTGCACTTCATCAAACTATTTTAAAGAGCATTTTAAAGATTTTTTAAAGGAAGTTTTCTCCCTCAAATTGTGTTCCCATGTTTTGTTCATGACAGAGCAGCTCAGACATTTAATACACATGACTTAGGCAGCAAATGTGCAGAGAGATGAGCAAAGACAGGGACACATTGAGATGAAGAATGCCATTCATGGGTAAACATTCGCAGCTCTGTTTTGTTAATGATCTGGTGTTATCGTTCCCTCACAGGCATGTAGTCTGATTGCAGTTCCTCATTCCAATCAGTACTCTAGTGAGCTCCCAGAGAATTACATTAATTGAGGTGAAATGAGAGGGGGCGTGCTTCTGAAAGGAATAAATGTGGTTGAGGCTAAGTAAGACAACGGTGCTCAATAAATGAGGACCCGCTGGTCCAAGACCAGTAATAACTAGATCGGTGAATGGTGAGATTAACGCCTTTATGATAGGATCCATTGGGATCCCGAAGATGTTGCTTCGCTCTCGGAAATGGATGTAGCCCTTTGCTGCTTTTACAATAGAGTGGCATCATGGCAGTCACTTCATGTAAAATCATAATTAAATGAACGACAAGTAAGATTTTTACTTTCCCTTTGTACAGAATAACAATGTGAGGGTTCGTCTGTCACACCTTCAGCTCTTGCCCAACTGTTGTCATCAAATCAAGTTAATTGGAAAGTGTAAATTGCAAGTAGTTCTGTTTTGTGAGGGTTTATTTGTTCTAGAAAGATTACAATACGTTTGATTAACCTTCTTTAAGACATTGTCTGTGCATTAAACAGGTTGAATGCACCCACTTGTTATAAGTTATTGATTGCTTGGTGGAGCTTTCACATACAATACGCCATTGCTCCCCTAAACCTCCCTCCGTGCATCTGAATGAGTCTGTCTATCATCAAGTTCTCCACAAAAAGCACAGTTTACATAGGTGGGGAGGGGCATTGTTAAGACCTAACCATCGCCCAGTGCTTTAGTTTACCTGTCACAAGCCATCACTCCTGAGCCTTGTTAAATACCATGGTTAAACACCTGTAAGCTTCTGGGAAATCCTTGAGATGATGCTGACGTTATCTGTAGCACAAAGTGTTAAAATCCTTTAATGCCCATTCCTCTGTAAAACTGCTTAGTCAGCTGCTATGCTAATCCTAAATGGACAGACCCAGCTGCAGGAATTTATTTACTGTACTATATACATGACTTTGATAGTCTATCCTAGAAGAATTAGCAATTTACAGGTAAGCAGAGGTCCCTATCTCCAATTTAATCTTTCAGCAGATGTCACACATTTATAAGAAGCAGGGTTTCTTTTTTAATGGTATCCATTTTCTATCATTTGAAAATTAATTAGTTTAATATTATAATAATATTGGATAAACTGCTTCTTAAGATGCTTACTGATTCTACTTTCTCTTATAAGTAGCAGCTTTGCCTTATTACACAGAACATGTACAGTATATTGACAGCCATACTTTGCCAAAATCCATCTTAACCAGGCGAGTCTGACCTTTAGCTCCCCAAGAAAGCTCACTTTCACACTGCTTTGGGGTCTCCGCGCTGAATTTTAAGAGTAAGGTTACCTTTGTGTCATTGAGAAGCTAAGCTGCCTGTCGGGATTGCTGGCCGTGGCCAGGCCAGTGAAATGGCAGGGCTTAAATGTAAGCCAACGCCCGACAGA